TTCTTTCTTTTGTGGATTTGTGAAATTTACAATGTGGGGTTGGAAGCTCATGAGCTATGTGGATGTGTTGGATTATAAGATGGAATTTTGATTAAATGTTGTGGTTCAGTGAGTTAGAAAGTGAAACAGTGGAGATGTTTGCTACTGTAGATGGTATCTTGATCTATTGGGGTCTATTGATACTTCATGAAACTAGAATTGGTGAATTTCAAGTTTCTTTTTCTCTACTGTTCTGATTGAAATTCGTTTCGTTTTCAACTTTGGGTATGTATCTGGTAGGGACAGAAAAGAAAAGAATTAAGCTCAGGGACAAGCTTGTTGGTTTACGACGTTCTAGAGGATCAGTGTCCCGTAATTCAAGAGGAGCCAAAATTGTTGACTCTGATGAAAATAGTTCAGGGCCTTCCCACAGAAATTACAATTTGCCATCAAGTGCAGAAGTTAATAGAGTTCGGGAAGCCCTTGGGTCGAGTGCGTCCGAGCTACATGCCGCTGTGAAGGATCCCCTTCCGGATGCGTTACAGTTTGCGGAAACAATCTCTGATGACTCACGAAAAGACAAACACCATGAACCTACTGTAGAAAATAATCGTTTTCGGCCCAATCTATTCATTGTGGATGGTGCTGGAGTTGTTCAAGGAAGTAGCCCTAATGTGAACAATGGACCTAAACCGAGTTTGATGGAGCGAAACAGTACTGCACATACTTATGAGGTGATTTGTTTATAGTTTTATGCGTGTTTGTGTATATTGTAATATTAATCATTAGAAGTTAGAAGGTCTTTGATTTTTTAATTGTGGTGGCAGAGGGGGTATGTTAATGTGATTCTTCTTTAATACTTCTCATGTCGACCAGACCAATTTTCATCACACTTCAGTCCTTTCAACATCAATCCAATTTCTCCTTTTCCGGTTGTTGCCTTACCCTTGTATCAGTTATTGTCAAAGAAAATTAGTAGCAACAAGGTGCTTAAATTTCATGTGGCATAGATAAGAGAACTTAGTAAATATAAATGATTTGAAATAAGTGAAGCCAAAGATAAACTATTACAGAAGATGTTTTACCTAACCAATTTTGCAGTACAGAACTATCACTCACATGCATTTTCTTTTTTTCTTCCAGGTCTCTCGTTTCCCTGATTGTTGCAAACAGAGTCAGAAGTAAAATCTTAATGATAATTGTATTTACAGTTCTGAGATGCTTATAAATATTTGTGGTTTGTGCACATTGAGAACAACCTAATTCATGCTCGCATGAAAGAGAAAGGCTTTGATGTTGTTTTGTGCCCTAGTAATAGTAGTGATCATTTCACATACCAATATTATACATACATGTAGATACGCGCTAATTCATGCTTGCTTGAAAGAGTAAGGCTTTGATGTTGTTTTGTGCCCTAGTAATAGTAGTGATCATTTCACATACCAATATTATACATACATGTACACGCACACGCATGAGGACTGTGACATAATATTGACTCTATGGTGTAGATTATTATTATTATTATTATTATTATTATTACTATTATTATTATTATTATTATTATTATTATTATTATTATTATCTACACCACTCTACCCATGTAACACTTACACTCCTTTTATCCAGCCAAAAAAAAGTTGTGCATTCAAGGAGAACGGACAAGAAGACTTAATTGAGAAAAGATTATTGCTTGCTGAATTAATCTTGAACGAATATATGTCGTTTAAACATAAATTCTTGTACCACAGCTAGTAAGTTAATGAATTTACATGACAAGGGTCCTTGGCTTTACAAGAAGATGTGCTTTTCTATATGATGTGATTATTATTTTTTTTCTCCTAACCCGGCATGTTAAAGAAGTTCCTTGGTCCTGTGTTAATCTCTTGTCTACCATTGTGAAGAAAGATAAGTTATGAGAGTTATCATACTTTGGTTTCTATTAATGCAATATTTGATTGTAATTTAATTTTGTTTGCAGTGGGAAGATTCAATTGATAGGTCACAAGAAGACCCAGCTTCCGGAAGCAGGCTTCTGTTACCTAGTCCAAAGCCGATAAGCATGTCTCCTTTAGACAGATACGAGGTTAAAAACTTAAAGAGAAGGAGGAAAGGTCGTAAATGGAGTCTTGCGGAGGAAGACACCTTGAGGACCGGAGTAGAAAAGTACATAATCTAAGGAAAAATTCCTATGAATTGGCATTTGAGCATATTTATTGTCTGATATAAATAGCCTGTTTTATTTGATGATTTTTTGCTACTAATTTAACTGTGTTTTCTATCATTGTGTACCTTGTTGGCTTGATTCTCTTTTTCAACTTCAATGCCAGCTAAAAATTAATATGGACTTCACCAAAGATTTGTTGCTAATGTAAGTTTTTTTTAATTTCCTGAAGGTATGGCAAAGGAAATTGGAAGGTCATTCTAACTGCGTACCGTGAAGAATTTGAGGGTAGAACTGAAGTAAGTATCCTTTTTAGCTTATTGCCATGGGTTTTACTTTCTCTCCCTCCTTGGGTTGGAGATAATGAAGAATGTTTAACTCAGGTTGATTTGAAGGACAAGTGGAGGAACCTGACGCGCTACGGGTAGTAGTATTGCGTTTTCAATGTAAAGGTACAATGCCCAGGATGGAATCCTTTTTATCTAAAACAAGTGTCCATATGGTAAATGAAGGAAACGAGTTTAATTAGTGAGAATGTGCTCGATAGATGTCGATGTCAATGTGATTGTGTGTAGCCTTGTAGGTTGAAAGTTCCTTTCCGGGTAGTTTTTCTTAATCCTTTGTGTTGTATTTCCTTTGTTTTTTTTTTTGGCTTAATCAGGAAAGGGAGACTGTAAGAAGCTGTGATTATATTTAAGATTTATTTCTTAAAATTTTGTCTTGGTATGTCCATTTTTGTTCTTAGATTAGACAAGTCTAACCAAAGTTTTTACTTTTTATAACAATACCTTTAGCAATCAACATCAAACTTTTGATTCTGAAGTGCTTGGCATAATCACAACCGTGCAAGTATACTGTACTGCAAGCAATCATTTTTGGTTCATCTCAAGTAGATATTTTTCAGTACAACAAGAAACACAAAGTAGTAGTCATGTGGTCCTCTTCATAGCTCACCACTTCATAATATAGCCATATGTAGCTTCAATATAGGGTCTGGTTTGGCCAAACCCTTTGAAAATTCATATGCCTTAAATTAGATCCTCTCACAGTTTAAAGATCCAATTGTACTAATAAATGCACAAAGATCTTAGTAAATTCAATTATACCGTAAAAAAATCGGGTATGTGTGTTGATTCAACGGTAAAAATCGAATTTTTTCCTAATTAATTTTGAGGATAGTAACAAAATTTGCCTGTGTTGATCAAGTTAAAAAAAAAAAAAAAAATCACAAGAATTATGAAACAAAGAAAATTTTCAAAAGCATAAATGTCATCAGAACTCCATCTTTGCTTAAGACACCCTTCAACACTTCTCAAACACACTTAAAAAACCACCTGAATTCTATCTGTAACGCTATCGACGTTGAGCTGTGGCCAGAGGGCCCCGGCATGTGGGGCACGACGAGTGCGAGACGAGCCACCTGTCCACGCACCCGACATGAAAACCGTGGTTGCACCCGGGCAGGATTCTAACATCTTCCCCCTCCGCAAACTCCGCCAGGCATATCGGGCACTCAGTGGCCGCCACATTCCTCCCGCCCGCCGCCCGGTAAGCCGCCACCGGAATCCGGCTAAGCGCCTCCTTCCCCAGCCCCCCAACCGAGCCCGTAACCGAGCCCTCAGGCGGCGGGTTAGGCTCTAATATGCCCCTGCAGCGCAGGGCGCAACGGACGATGGAGTTGAGGGCGAGTGCGCAAACGAGCGCGCACAGCAGGGCAGCCAAGATGATCACCATGTTGCTGTCGAAGCTCGAGTTTTCCCGGTCGTACGGGCCCACGCCGGAGGAGGCGGATGGGCCTATGACGACGGAGTCGAGGAGGAGGCGCGGGGGCCGATAACGATGAGTTGACATAAGCCTTAACTTCATATTTTATGTTTTCTTGAGTGTAAAGAGAGGGTTTAAGAAGAGAGTTGAAAGTAAGGGGTTATTGGAATGGTTTTTGTAACATGATAGAATAGAAATGTGGGGAAAAGGTGTACAGAATTGTGGTAAGAGGATAAGGAAGGAAAGAGAGATTTGTAGCTCCCCTTTTTATTGGTGTTTTTGTGGTGACCAGAAAATGTTATATCTGATAGTATTTTGTATATGAATACATCTTTGTTTACGGGATAAAATTATGATATTTGATCGTATAAGTATACATTAGACCGTCTAACAAAATTATGATATTTGATCGTATAAGTATACATTAGACCGTCTAACGTAAGAATTTATGTTGAAAGGAAGTCTTGAGAGAGAGATGTGAGATATTTTTCTGAGCTGCGGAAGTTTGCTGAGATATTTTCTTTTCTTCATGTTTTTTTCTTTTTTGTTCCCAATCAGGTCAGCTATCAATCTTCTTTTTGATTGAGGCCTTTCTTGTCCAGATATTGAAAAAGCTCACGGATTATATTCGATATGATTTGAATTTTGAGATTTTTAAACTTGCATGGTTGTTAATGCAAACTAAACAATCATATTTTTTTTTAACATAATATTAATCGATGTAAAGCTATTTGTTAGGCAACTGTACTTTTTAAACAAGTATACAAACAAAAAAAAACTTTCAAACTGAAATATCACACTTCGAACAACATAAACAAAAATAGTTTGTTAGGCAACCGTACTTTTTAAACAAGTATACAAACAAAAAAACTTTCAAACTGAAATATCACACTTCGAACAACATAAACAAAAATAGAGTCGGACAGACATACATTTAACAGCGTAAGTACGACGATGGATTAACCCGCTTAACAGTTAGGCAGTCTACACACTGAGGTTTATATGTTCGTTATAATAATGAGCCTAAACTTCAAGCTAGCTTGTAATGATCTGAAACCTGGCTCCATCCAAAAAACCCAGTGGGTTCTGAAGTTCATATCCACTACAATACAGCAAAAATAAATACACTCATTCACTCAATAATCAAAACCACTATTCATTTGCATTTGCATGTTCAGATTAAAACTATATAAACAAACATCCAAGTATACCTTGCATCAAACAGACAAAAACCAAATCCTTCCACTCCAAGGTGTGGGGAAAAACAGTACAACCCAACTCAAAAAATAACCCTGAGATCTCAAAGACACATGTATCTTAGGCAACCAACCCATATAAGAATCTATCATCGACGGTTTAGTGTAGTAACCACCAATATTCGAAAACCGATAACCAAAAAAAGAAGAGAAAAAAAAAAAGCAAAAATAAATCACCCGTCCACACGACTATTCTCCTGTTTCCTGTTTCCCATCTCCAGACCCTGATCCACTTCCATGTCCACCATTGTCATCAACACCACCCAACGCTCGAGGGACCAAAGGGCTTGGAACAGGGCCTGGGCCCGGACCCAGGCCTGGGAGCCCGTTCTGACCCAAATACATATCCAATGGAAAACCAGCTGTATTGATCAAACTCGTCAAGCTCATCCCTGACGTCCCTGCCAGAATCTCATCTTCACGATGTGGATCACAGTTCAAGTCCAGCCCGGCCTTTCCCACATCCTCCACATTATCCACTTGCTTCATCCCATCATTATTATTACTATTGCCAATCTCCTTTAGCAGTTGGTTCATGTTCCGAAGCGTGTGGCCCACAATATCCTCCCTCTCCAAATCTTGCTTAGCAGCAGGCTTTTCTTCTTCTTCTTTATTATAATTATAATTATTACTATTATTATTGTTATTATTATTATTATTATTATTATTATTATTATTATTATTATTATTATTGTTTTCTAGGGCAAGCTCCGCTTCGCGTTCGGACTGTTTTTTCTTCTTGCGGAGCATGAGGGTCTTGAAACGGCGTTTAACGGTTAGGCACACGTTGCACTTGCAGCTGGGCTCGTGCCGGCCCTTGCCGCTCGGGGGCTGAATGCAGACGATGCACGTGCAGCCAGGCCTGTGGCGGGGATGCCTTGTGGTGGGGCCCGTCGAGTAATCTCCTGCCCCGGCTATGTTGTCCCCGAGAACAGCAGCATTAGCAAGTGCATCCAGGCCGGAAGGCTCGCCTTCCCGTGCAGCTTTGCTGTTGGAATTCTTTTGCTTCTTGTGATCTGGAATGTAAATAAGAATAAAATAGTCAAAGATTATGGTTTATCACAAAAAGGCAGACACTGAGGTTTGTCCTAAATGTTAAAAGGAAAAAAAAGAAAATTATGTTTTCAGAAAATTACAAAATACAACCTAAGATATTTTTTACACCATCTCAGGTACAATTTTGTAGCTAACTATCTGAATTAGGAAAGAATTTAATTGAAAATTACAAAATACAACCTAAGATATTTTTGACATCATCTCAGGTACAATTTTGTAGCTAACTATCTGAATTGGGCAATAATTTAATTGTTTAGCAATGACAGACAAGATATAACAGGATGAGACGCTAACACAAGTAATGTTGGATAAACTCTCGGAACTAAAATGACCTGATTGGATCAGAAAATGCCCGGCTGATCAATTTTGGTTGAAAAATATCTATATGATTTGTAAGTTATAACTGATTATCAGTAACAGAGTATAAAAGCAATGAGTAGGTTTGGTTTATTAAAGCATCACTTTATCCTTGTCCTAAGAAGAAAAAAATACCTTGGTCTACAACTAAAGGCTATGATTAGCACAACTTGCTAAAAATGGAACTTAACTAATTTTAAACGTAATTTAAGAAAAAATATTCTTCTTTAACGTGGGGTCCTAAACAGCTAATACGGGTCAAACTTATTTCTCCTGCTCCATATGACTTCTCTAACAAGATCCACAAATTAACCGACTGATCCAATCAATTACAAATTATTTTCTGCTTTATATTTTATTTCGATAAAAATATATTTGTGTTGGATTTCACAACACCTCGACACAATCAGAGTCTGTAGACTTTTCAGTGTAACTACAAATAGACATCATATCTATTTAAGACAACAATATTATATAAATAACTGGACGCATGATGCAGAAAGAAGCACGAGCATTTCCCGACATTTTTTGTGCAATGACTTTATTTTCTAAGGCAGAATGATCCAAAAATACAGCCTGCAAAACCCTGATGAGTAATTATCGTCCCACCACTCAGATAATTGGCTCGGAGAGAAATGAAAGTGCATTATCAAAAGATTTCATAGAACCCCCACGAGCCACTCAATGGTCTATATAATTATGTGATTTTCAATTAATGGTCAACACAACAAGAGAAAACACAAACTTAAATGATGTCACCATGCATGTGTGTCCGCTTTTTCATACCCTTGTTAGTTCTAGAGAAATCTTGATTTCTCAGGCTTATCTCTTCTGGAGCAGAACACGAAGACCTGGAATAAAATTCAGCATCATACAAGTTAAGACCTGGAATAAAATGTTAGGTTGCACAAAAAAGGTTCTACAGGGCCAAAATCGCTAGTTCCTAAGACTCTAGGATCTGTTTTGCCACTAGGCTTGACGCAATTTTGTTGAGCCCAAAAGACTTTCACTTCCACCAGTCTTCTTTACTTTTAGTCTTCTCTACTTCCATCATTTTGGAAGTCTGTGAGAATTAAGAACTCTTCTCTATGAGATGGGCTCAAGTTTTAACCGAACGAGTTGATCCTATATTGGCCCGCTAACTAATGAATTTAACCACATCCATTGTATTTAATTAACTCCATTGGACCAAGCACTTCTAAAATTTGCTGACCTGGTAATATCCCAGACATTTTCTGCACATGCCCAATTTGCAGAAATAAGAGCATGAACTGGCAGCCTGCGCCATTTTGAGCAACTATCACATTGAGCAAGTTGTGCCTGCTCCCTGATAAAATTACCAAATACTTATATCATGATAGGGCATTTTAGACAAAAGAAACACACACACGCACACACACACACAGAGTGATATAGAGAGAGAGCATGTAATATTCAGCTCGTATTGGATCTCAGGTACTCAAATAGTCATTGCAAAAATGTATGAGAAATTCTCAACAAAACATACAGCAAGTGAACATCCTTTCTTCAACTTTTCACATCTGCCACAAGACAATATAAATTACCAAAAGTTCCTTGCAGCATGGCAAAGAAACAAAAAGAACAAAAAAATAAACAAAACGGTTAAATGCTGTTTGGCTGAAAGCTCATCTTATGCTACACCCATGTATTTACCAGAATTTTATGTTTGATTGTAACTTTATTATCTTTGAAATAATATTAATAATATGGCAATCGATACATGGTGATCTACGTTACGATTCACTTTTAAGTTTTTACAAGGAAGATCAATTATGGAAATCTATTGACAAAAAAAGGATTTCTGGTTGTGTTTAGAGGACATTTTCGAAGGTAGTCAACATTTGACTGCCATCCGATCAAAGCGCATGCCTCCCAAACCCTTTTCCGTAACACTCTGCCTACTGAACGCCTGGATTTTGAGCAAAGCGTAAAAAGTGTGAGTGTGTGATAGTCATGTATTGTAGAGTAGTTTATCTTTTTCTTTTCTTTTTTTTTTTATTTTTTTCATTAGGTATGTTTTGAGGATTCCTCATCCCCTTTTGTACTGTATATTTTCGCTTTATTTTGATGAAATTATGTTAAAGAAAATGTTAATGTAATAACTGGAATGGAGATACACATGTAGTTTAGTAGTGTTTGAAAAGACTAACATATGTGATAATCAGGACATGTGTAAGAACAATGGTTACGAGTTTCCAACTTTCTGTTCATTTTAATAATATGGAGCTAAGATTCCTTCAGAGGTGAATCTTGGTTTCTGCACATAAACAAAGTAGTAGAATATAATCCCACAAAACTTACACCTGAGTTTAGACTGAAGCGTACTCAAACGTACCAAGTTGTCTTTCAAAATCAGAAGTACAAGAACTCTCCTCTGACATTGGTTTCATTTTAAAAAATTTCCCACTAAAGAGGGTGGAATTTTTCCGTAAATAAAAAATTAATTTCTCGTAATTAAAATGAAGCCTCAGAGGCAATTTTTAAATATCTCAATATCACATAGCACTAGTGGCTGTGGACGTCACAAAAAGCTACAGTCAAAACTAGTCATAATTGACAAATTCCACAAGAAAAAATAAGTAACCATACCCGTTAGGTTGAGATATGAAAATTGTCCTCTTCCCAAAAACTGGAGGTTCCTAAACATAACAACTGTAGTTTAACACAAAGAACCAAACCATATATAAATCCAAAATGAAATGCTACAAATAATAATAATAATAATAATAATAATAATAATAATAATAATAATAATAATAATAATAATAATAATAACAACAACAATAATAATATCAGCACAAAATTTATTTACTTCAAATTCTTCAATCTCACAGTGCTCAACCATGACAACAGTCGGCTCAGTAGATGCAGGTGGACGCAACAACTCTTGAGCTTCTTCCCAAGTAATCCTAAGCTCGACAGCATCATCATTGTGCATGTGAAGCCTCTTGTTCTTGATGTTTCTTGCGTTCCTCTTCTCCAACATGCTCATATGCTGCTGCCGGGAATCATCAGATACTCTGCCTCCATTCTGTGCATAATTATGTCACATTGAACCAACTCAATTATAATCCCGATTATAAAAAGAATAATATGTATTAAAGGAGTAAATATAGCACGTAATCAACATACTGCTGGTTTATTATCATTGCCGCCCGATGATGACGTGTCCCCTGGAGGATCAGCAATTGGAGTGGCTGGTGTTTGAGGCTCCTGCTCGATTTTCCGAGGAAACATCAGAAACTTTCCGAAAATAAAATAGAATAAAAAAAAAATAAAAAGAGGAAATAGTGACCTGGACATCAAAATTGACTACTGCCTTGCGACAGCCAATGACAAGTTGTCCTCCAGGATCTCTCCTACTAAATATCACTATAGAAAATACGTGGAAATACAACAAGTGCATTAGTCTCATCACACAGTAACAGTACATATGCTATATAAGTGGTAGATTGTTTCCCATTTTGTACTATTTCAAAAACTTGGAATCATGTCTGTTTTACCCAATTTTAATTAAACTGTATTAAGGTATGAAAAATCAACGAGAACTCTATAGAAATTCAAGATTCACGAACATTTAGCCAAGTAATTTTGTAAGCACAAAAAAAATAATAATAATACTAATAGTAGTAGTAGTAATAATAATAATAATATTATAATAATAATAATAATAATAATAATAATAAATAAATAAATAAATATTCCATACCTGTATCACCAGCTTGTACTTGCATACTCTGGATGCAAGGGGTTACACCCTCCAAAACATACATTCTGCTGTTGTTATTTGGCCAAAACCTGAACTGAAATGTCCATTCTTTCCCCTTTATGTCCTGAATCTTTATTGGTATGCCTTCTGATTGATTTATGGTAGGAAAGTATGCCTGCGCAAAATAGATATTTCATCCACAAATACAGAAAAGAGAAAGTTCTATTTTTTTATTTTATTTTATTTTTTTCTTCTCACATGCTTCTGCAAAACATTTTTCGAAGCCAAAACTAAACACTCACTTCAGCACATGCTTTTGGAAGGACCAGACGACCGATTCGGCCCGCATCACTAGCACTCAGAATCTTCTCAAACAAAGGCACTATAGTGGAGTTCAAACTACAGATTAGAAGTTAAGGCAACAAATAAATCAAGTCATGAGACTTGTAAAGGAGTGAAAATATTGCAACTGTAGAATGGTCCTATAATATTCAAACGTTATAAAATAGCCCCCAAGATTACATAACCACCTTAACTGTGACCCTGCACAATAAAACATTTTGCAAAATTGTCCTATAAATTGATTAAAATCTCAATCTTGGTGCCATAATTTCACAAGAAACTACGACTATATTCAATTTTTTGAAAGTGAACAGATTGAAAGTTTTCAATTTTCCCAAGAGGCATATAAAATCATCAGTCACTACATGTAAAAGACCATTGGCAACAAACAACTATTTTAAGGATACTCTCCAGATAATTGCTGCAGCTCTTGGTCAGTGATCCTCGGCCAATAACGAGGAAGCAGCTGGCTACGGCCTCGCCCTTCAGCCGGTGGCCTTGGGACCCGCGCCTGCGAACTGCTCCCTTTACTCGCCTCGGGCCCTGCAGTCGGGCTAGGCTTTGGAGGCTTTGGAGGAATATGGCGTATCCTTTGTAAAGAACCCTTGTTCTGATCACTCCCATCAATCATTCCACCAGGAAAAGGTGCTAAACTGCTAGATCCAGCTATAGGAGGGATTGCGGACAAGGAGAAATTCAGACATGGCTGAGTTAGAGATTCAGTCATGTCCTTACTGCCTTGTCTTGGTCCTATATTCTCTGGTTTGATGAAAACAGACGACGAGGGCTGTAGAGAGGGACTTGCCAAATTTGTCCCTATTTCAGGGGTTTTTAGCATGGGTGGTTCGTCCCGTTTAAGCTGCTCGAATGCTGAGGTGATGTCATTGACCCCTATGGACTTAGTCAACTGCAGAAGTCTCTCTGTGCTGAATTTGTCGTCGTCTATTCTGTTCCCTATCACCATCGGCTGCGGGTCACTGAAAATGCTTTTGGGGGCAAATGTGCCATTACGCACATCGCCAGGGATCTGAAAATGGTTCGAGTATACAAAGTATATCAAAGCCGAATAAGATAGAAGCGGATATTATTCAAAAATTGGCAAAAATAATATCCTCTGAACTATTATACAGGATGGCGAGAGAAAGGATAACAAAAATGGAATATGTAACAGTAGCAAACATATTCGAATGTCAAGGGAATCCAAAGTGAAAATACAGATAAAAGAAGTATGTTTAAGAGAACTGCATTGGATTTTAATTGGATGAAACGAACATATGGCAGGAATAAGCTTAGAGATGAATTTATTATGAGGAAAGAAAGAGACAAAATGGATCAAAAATAACAAAATAGTATCTAATTTTATTGTGACAAAATGTATAATTTCAAACAAAAGTTGGAAATTTTAAGGAATGTCCTGATGTGAATTCCTGGAACAATATGCAACTGTCATCCTCATTCCTAGCATATCACCATCATCGTCATCCATTAATGTACTGGTTATTATGCTTAAAAAAAGAATAAATCAATTTACAAAACCTAATTCATGTTAGAAATTCAGCAGTAGATCTAGTGACCAACTACCTGTATTGTTTGCATGGCATGGATTTCCAAACGCTTTACACAGCTTATGCAAGCAACGCCACCGAAATCCATGTACTCATGCAGGTGTCTTGAAGCAATGCACCCACAGTGAACCACCTAACATGCAAAATTGAAAGGTTCAGATAGATGAGATGTGGGTTTAAATAATAATAATAATAATAATAATAATAATAATAATAATAATAATAATAATAATCCCACCTTCCCGCATACTCTGCATGGCCGCCAACCAGAGTCCTCCGCGTGGAATGTTTCGCAGAAAATAGAATTCTCATAGGCAGATCTGGAATCCACATTGACCAATTTCAAAGCACGAAACGAGCAGAAAAGACATTTTAAAGTAAGGTGACCCATAAAATAATTTCCAAAAAATTAATTTTGAATCAAGTCCTCATTCAATTTTAGATTAATGAAAAGCCGCATAAGTGTAATGGCATGTCGTCATGCAAAGTGCTAATGATACTTTAAATCAATTTGAAAAATCTTGCAATATAAAGCAATGCAAACTTCAAGGCACCAACCAGAAGAAGTGAAAATGGCCTCAATGTACAAGAATACTACATAAGTCTCACTCTTCAGTTTCATTCATGCCAATAAAATTTTTGAACTTTAATCAGTTCAGGAGTGATGGATATATCATAACTTATATCAACCCTTCAAAATCATATAAGCACGCCTATTTTCGGGCTAAAAGTAGAAAACCAAATAAAACAGAATATAGCATGAATGTTATTTGATGAAATAATCATATATTTTCTTTCCGGACATAATACACAAAAGCACGTAAGACGTAACCAACTCAAATGCTCTTACATCAGCTATTGAATGGAAGCAACAATTAACATTATTTCACTTATCACATCATAATATGAAAGCATGTTATTCTGTTGATAACCATGTATGTAAATCTTAAGTAGTCCATCTTTAACTAATGCATCAACCCATCTTCAATCTGTTTCAAAACACAAACTTTTCGGCAAAATACACCAAAACGCCACGTCTTGGACAAACAATATGGATAAAAGGTCTAAATTTGTGCAGGGCATTTGAGGAAGAAAAGGATTATTCTAAATATAGGAAACAATTAAGCCACCTATACCAAAGAAACCAATTCATTGTAACAAAACCAAAATCATCTCCACTGTTGAGATATATTAGGAATCCAAATTGCGCATACCCAAATTACGCTTTCAAATTTGGAAAACAAACAAAGCCAGGATTTTTCAGAAATTTCAAGAATATTATTACCCGCAATTGTAACACAGTGAAGCTAATCCACCTGATTTCAAGGTCCAACCTTTCTTCCAATCCGACGACGTCGTTGCTCGGCACACCTCATTCATGCAATTCTTCATCCCCATTTCTCGCAAATTCAATTCTTGAAATTACCACTCTATTAAAAAAAAAATTAAACAAATAAATAAAAATTGAAAACAGCAAAAAACCCAAATACAAAAACCATCAATCAAAACCCTAAGACCCTTCGACTAAACCATGTTGACCCAGATCAAAGGAATCGAACAAGAATCAAGAAACAGACGACTTTAATTCGCACAAGGACAACACTATTACATCTCAAAAAAACCGAAATCATTCGAGTAAATCGCCCACTCACCCCGTTCGAATCAGTGAAATTCAACGTCCGCATGCGAACATCCTCGTACACCCAGAAAACGCAAGGGCCCAATTGCTGATACAGAGTTCCCCAAATCTTGAATTGAGGCCGAAACTAAAATAATGTTTTCAGAAAAATAAGAAAAAGGGTAAAAAAAAAAAAAGAAGATAATGAAAAAAAAAAAAAAAACAACGGCGGCGGTCGGTGGCTAATTCCACTAATGCCAGATTCAAATTAAAATTAAATTAAACTGGAATAAAATAAAAAATCAAATAACGACGATGCGTGAGTCTCTGTACAATTATAGATTTATGGACGTGTATCTATCTGTATAGAGAGAGAGAGAGAGAGAAAGAAACAGGTGTGCATGCAAAAGGGGAAGAACTTGAAAAGGGTGCGCGACAAAATGCATGCACGACAGACTTGAGGAGACCACCAGGCCTTCGTCTACTTACATTCTCATCTCATCTGTGTGTGTGGACTTGTGGAGTTGTTTTTTGCCCCAAATTGTGTATTTGTNNNNTTGTTGGGTGTGGGCGTTCAGACAGTGGTACGATAGGCAGGCGGTTTGGTAGAAAGGTCAAGTCTTTTTTTATCTTGAGGTAAGTCATTGCTACACTTGGACTGCCCACTGAGTAAATCTTAAATCACTCACCTTAATAATCATAATTAGACACGTAAATATATTTGTATTATTAAATATTATATTTTGTTCTTTTAATCTTTTATAAAGTATGATATTTTAATTTTAAATTATTTTAATTTACGTAAAAGTATAATTGTCTATGTTCGAAGAGTTCTCACATCGTTCATACATAAAAAATAGACTCACTTTAAAAGTCTAATGAGATACTCCTTCTTCCATTAATTGATTTTGGGATGAAACCTCACTTGGGCTTCTCCGCTTATGGTGCGCTTCATATTAGTGGGACCGCACCCGTTTTCCCTCAGTTTTTTACATGGTATCAGAGCAGGTTCTATTGGTGACCGTGCGATGATGTACATGTCCCTCAATCCAGTTGGGCTTGGGCTTTCGAATGACTCACAAGTGAGGGATGTTAGGATATCACCTGTGAGTTCCCACATTGTTCATACATGGAAATAGACTCACCTTATAAGTCTAATGGGCTACTCCTCTTTCCAACGATTGGTTTTGAGATGTAACCTCACTTGGACTTCATATGGGCTTCCCCGCTTATGGTGCGTTTTGCGTTAGTGGGACCGCACCCATTTTGACCCAGTTACTTATATAGTCTAATTGTTAGTCTGCCTAGCAATAATTGTATAGTTTTTTTAATAACAATTTCTTATTAAGATAATCGAACTATATGGCTATCTTATCTGTCATGCTTTTGTTATAAAAATTGATATCTATATCTATACATATATACATATATATAATAAGCATTATCATTTACCAAAAATATTAACTAAAAAAATCCAGGAACATTAATTATATTATTTTTCTGAAAAGTTTTATTTAAATTTGGTTTTATATATATATTTTTTCAAATCTTGCAGCATTTAATGCATGATGTCGTGTGTTTTTTAAAAAATCAAAATGCAAATTCGGTCATTCAGATTTTCTAAGTCCTAAAAATCAGGAATTCAAATTTCAAAATCCACAAACATCTAACCATTCCTTAAATGAAGGATTCCATAAATTAAATGTTTGAACAAAATAAAAATTAATCACATATTCGAATAAAATTTCATAGATTCCAGCAAGATATCGATTTTTATTCTATCAAATTCACGAAAATCGAGTAAAACGTATTGATTCTTCCCAATTCTATCAGAAATCGTGAAATAAATTTTGAGAATTGAACAAAAACTCGAGAAATCATATCTGAAATTCATGTTTTTCGAAAGAAAAATCCGCAATTCAAATTAAAAAAAAAAAAAAAAAAAACTAGATTTGTATTTATTTTTAAACCTAAATAAAAAAACGCAATACAAATCCATTAATTTGTGTGGTAGTTGAAAAAACAAGTGAAATTCGAACAAAAAACATAAGATCCATGATTTTTACGTGATTTGTGGAAATTAGTATCATTGATTGAAAACAAAAACATAAGATTCACAAGGTTAATTTGATAGTCATTATTCATAATCGAACGTAACAGAGTTGAATCAAAACAATAAATGTGCACATGACGGATCTTATGAAAAACCTAAAAACTCGGAAAAATTGTCTTTTATAGGTGAAATGGATTGTTCATTACCTTTCGATCATTTTGATCGACTTAGACCATCTGATCACCGATTTCGTGGATGTGGGTCGTGTTAGTGTATATGCTGAAATATTGGTTTTTTTTGTGTTATTTAAACTATTTTCTATTGAATGAGAATCACGCTTAACATGGAATACTAGTATAACACCAGTGTATTACACGGGTGATTGTTAAAATATTATTCTTAAATTTTAAAATTAATGAGAAAAACTATATTAAAAATTATTTTTTTTTTACGAAAAAATATATATTACTATATATTTTAGAATGAAATTTGTTACTTGTGTCTTATATGTGTTATGTTATAGTAATTTTAATAGCCTATTCTTATAAGTACTTTAAATATAAATATATTAGTTGATAAATAATTTTATTTTTCTAATTAATATTAAAAATAATTTTATTATTGTTATATTGATAAATATTTTTTTTACATACAATATGGATGTTAAATCGAAGCTCATCAAGATATGATTAATTTGATATATTACGTATGTAAAACTGATAAAAAATATAAAAGTTATTAACTTTTAAAATATATATAATTAAATAGTTATAATAAGAAAGTGATATTAAAATGCAATAAATACATTTAACATAACCATAAATAATCAACATATTTATGGTAATCCGAACCTAATTATTTTTGGATTGGAATTAAATTAAAATCAACCGAAGTCTAATAACGATGCATGTAATTTTGCCACATAGGATCCCGAAGCATGAGAGTCTGCCACTTAGGCTCAACACGTTCTGAAATAATATATAGGGGGATTTAGATACGTTTTACATGTGTTATATAAGTTACCTTACATCTTTGATTTATAATTATTATCTAATATTGTTTAACTGTAATTTTAATTTATAATTATTATTTAATATTTTGTTACCGTTCATCGCACGGGGTATGCACTAGTTTATATTATATATGTTACTTTTATTTTTGTACATTTATTGGAAAAGTATGTTGTTTAACTTTTTTTATTATTATATTATTTTTTATAAAAAGAAAAAGAGGATCACTAGTATTTTAGTTATATTTTTGTAATAAGATTTATTGGGATGAAACAAAATCGAATAAGATTATTGAAACAATGTAAGGTGTCATTACTCATATTGTATATTCTGGTTAATCTTATTGCATCCAAATATAAATAGTAGCATGTAATATATATATATATATAATTATATATATATTCTGGTTAATCTTATTGCATCCAAATAGATTCTTTATTTGTAATTATATATATAAATTATATATATAATTACAAATAAAGAATCTATACTGGATTTTTGAAATGGGTAGCATTTATCCCTTTTTGAAATGTATGTTTATGGGTTTGGGCCGATTTAGACGAGAGTAAACTTGATTTTTGGACAAAGCTAAGCTAATAGGCCCAAAATCATAATGTAACTGGATTTGTAAGACGGTTAGTTAAAAACATGTAAATGTAATGGATGCCGGGCCTAGATACCTTGCTGAAAGAACCCAACCCACCCGAAAAGAAGGGGCAGTTTTGACAATTCACTGTCGACCGGTGAGTGAAACCCTAGATGTCATTGGATCTTCACCTATATATATATATATAAAAGATGCACCTGCAGCCTCACACTGCCAAACCACAACTCCTTTGAAGAACAGTTTAATTTTAGTCTAGTATTACATTTACATGTATTCAAAACACAATTTTTGTTTGAATTTTTTATTTTATTTTTGGGTCATGACCTGTGTTATTAATTG